TTTTTATTTAAAAAAAAAAAAAAAAAAAAAGGGCAGAAAGCGAGAATAGCGTTCAGCGTCTGTTTTTCAGCGAGCGCATACAGAGGCAGCTGCACCAGGCACTGTTCTGGACTCGAGGTGGAGCACTGAACAAAACAGAGTCCCACTCTTCATGGAAGCAGCATTCGAGTAGGAGACGGACAATAGTTTGTCAGAGAACAATCTCACTTATTCCCAAATCATATGCTGAGGGCTCCTAAAGCCTCTCTTGGGCTCTAAACTTGCATTTCCAGCTTCTTCTAGATTTCACCACTTAGATGTCTATGAAGTACTCGAAACTCTGTCCTAAACCGAACTCAGTAACTTCCCTCTCAACCTTTTTCTGTAGCCTTGATGTCTGAGTAACCCTCGACTTCTGCACGGCTTGACAGCACTACCCAATTTGGTTACAACCTACTTTATTCCTCTGACCTACTCTCCTGCTACGTACTGTGCTATCCGGCCGCACCAAACTACTAGGTCCCTTCAAGCAGCCGCCTTTCCCTGCACTTACACGCACACAAGCAAAAGCAACCTCTTCGCCCGTGAAGGCGCACAGTCCAAACGCCTGTCTTTGAAATCCTGCCCATCCCCCGGCCTTAACTATTTATCTTCAGAGCTGCTGGAGCGCCTGTAGACAACTGCGGCTCAGAGTCGGGGCTTCTGGTGCTGTGCCTGGGGCATAGGGCCAAAGAATCCAGTCCTCCTCTACGCTTTAGGTCTGGGAGCCAAATTTTCGATCATATTCTTAGCAACTTTTTTCTCCCTCGTAGAACTCAACCACTTGATAGGCTGGGGGTATTCAATAAAAACTGCCGAGTGCGAGGCCTGCTCGGTGCTTTCTCCCGTTCGGAGCGAGCACATCGATGCTGCCTGAACGGAGGCTTTGTCTGGGGGCTGAACATTCTGGGCCCTTCCCCTCCCCAGCATCTTGGTCCCTTCTTCCAAAGCACGACTGGCAGAACGGGAACGGTGGCTGCAGCAGGCACCGGGCGGGGTTAGGGAAAGAGGTGGGAAGAAACATCCCAGCCGGAGGGAGATGGGAGAACGACGTCCCTCTGCTGCGCCCCGCGAGGGGCCGACCTACCTAGAGCACCTCTCCTCGCCTCACCGGCGTCTTCAGCTTCTTCACTTCTGGGCAGCGGGCACGCTTCTATGGCACGAGGTACCCCTTCCGTGGTTCCCTGACAAGTTCCGGAGCAGGAAGTGCGAAGACACCAGTCATTCTTCCTCTCGCCCCGCCCACAGGTCCCGAACCGAAATCCCGCGACCGTCGGCCGGGGCTGCCGAAAGGAGGTGGGAACGTTTCTCTTCAGGAGGCGGTCTCCCGGGGGAGAACGGACCGGAAGTGACGCGACCCAGTTCCGGTCGGCCGGAACCCGGCGGCGGGTGTGAGAGCCGGTCAGGTGCCGCTTCCAGGATCCTGAGAGCCGGAGGAGCCGGGATCGGAGCGGGCAGGTAAACGAGCGCGGGGCACTGGGGACGGGAGCCTGCGACGTTCCTCTGAGCCCGGCTTCTTCCGGGGCTCGCCCGCTTACGCCGTGCAGATGTGGGGCACCGTGATTTCGACTTCAAGCAGTGTTTTCGGGTGCTGCCGACTCGGGGTGGCTCAGTCTGGCGGGAGCCAGGTTATTTGGGACAGCTCTCCGCGGCTGGCCGCCGATACGNGATGTGGGGCACCGTGATTTCGACTTCAAGCAGTGTTTTCGGGTGCTGCCGACTCGGGGTGGCTCAGTCTGGCGGGAGCCAGGTTATTTGGGACAGCTCTCCGCGGTTGGAGCCCGCACGCTGGACTCCCGACCTTTTGCTCTGAGCGCCGCTGGTTTGGAAGCCGGTCTAAGCTTCTGTAGACGACCCATCTCGTCTTCCTTCCCTGGAGTCGTGGACTTAAGGTTTAGAGTAAATGGAGATCGTCCCTGCTGATGACCAAGCTGTTTAGAAGCGTAGGTTCCAAAGAAAACTCGGACGTGTTGCTTAATTTACATGTTGTTCTTAGTTCTTATTTAGAAAAAATGTTCACGTGTGTCTGAAACGAGGTGACAAGATTTTCGAGATGTGGAATTACATAAATGAGAGGTTATCATTAGTTTTAATACTTACTAAGTTTGCGTGTTGGCTGTATAACTGCCAAACCTGATCTTACATACTTTTTTTAAAAGAATTTTCTTTTTTATTGATTTTGGAGAGAGGGAGGTAGAGAGAGTGAGAAACGTCAATGGGAGAGAGAAACATCCATTGGTTGCCTCCCATATGTGTCCCGACCCGGGATGGAACCTGCAACCTGGGCATGTGACCTGAGCAGGAATAGAACTTGCCACCTTTTGGTGTATGGGAGAATGCTCCAACCAGCTGAGCCACACCGGCCAGGGCGTGATGTTACATTCTTTTTGTTCAGTTCAGTTATCCAGAAACCGATTACCCAAATTTTCTCACTTTTCCACCTTCTTCCTGCCTTTGGCTTGAATAACCATTTTTTAGGATTGTAAAAGATCATCCAACTTTAAGTCAGAAGACCTGGATTGAAGTCTGGGCTCCAACCTTTACTGAGTGAAGGTTGACAGGTTACCTGACTTTCTGAGCTGGTCTGGATTGCATCGATGAAAAGGCTGCTCACGTTTTCTCATAGGATTGTCGCAATGATTGAGATAGTAAATGTGAAATCACCATATAAATGAAAACATGGTGATATTGTCATTTTACTCTGAAATCTGGACATGTATCAGTGCAGAATACTGTTGCTTTGCATCATTTCAAAATTTGATGTTTTATGTTGTGTGCTATTTATCTAAAAATACTATCATACATTCTTCTTAGATGACCTTTGCCCTACTTTTGAACACAATAAAAGCTAGCCAGGAATAGTTTGGTACTGTAATCCTTTGAGTTAGTCACCTTAATTAATAAGTAGGTGACTGGAAAATGAGGATAGCTTGTATTTGAGAGTCTAAGTCTGATCTTTTTTGGTCATCGTGTATTGTCACTTAAGAATTTACAAGTGCAGAGGAAGCTGAGGTTTTTGGTACTTACATATAGTTAAATACCTACTGAATGCAGTATTTAGAAGTAGAAGCAACCTGTGAACATATAGTTAGATTCTTCTCATTTAGCAGGAGAAAATTGAGGCCCAGAAACAATCTGTAATTGGCTCACCTGAGGTCATACTGCTTAGGTAGTGCCAGAACCTGAACTAGAAATGAGGTCCCAAGTATTCTTTCTGTTCTGCTCAGATTGTCTGCAGGCATCTTAAATGGTTTGGTAATATTTCCTAGTTTGCATGAAAATGATTTCTCTTATGTAGTGAAGAGATCTATATGTGTGTGTACATTTTCCCCCCATTTTAGCTGATTGAGTTATGTAAATTCAGTGAAACCAAAAACACTGTGCTTGACAAGATTTGCAGTAGAATGTTATAAGGAAAGAAAATTAGTTCTATTCAGAACAGTTATTCTGAGTTCTTGCTTTGTTACTATCAGGTATCAAGGTGTCTTCTTTCTGGCAAGTGGAAAAGACAGAGGATCTTTGTGACACATGTCTCACTGAGTGAATGTTGCTAATAAGTATGAGGAAGCTGTACTAATTACTTTGCTCCTGCTAAAAAAAATTTCTCCAAGCTGTTTGTAACTTCGTCATTCTGTTATATATTAATTATCTCTTAATCTATGAAGTCATTTCTATAATTATTTCATTCTGGATAAATAGCCCCTGTAGAAGAGTTAATTCTTTGTCTTGTTGGGAGCTCTTTTTGCTTTCATTGATTTCACAAAACCCGTTTAATCTCTCCTCTTTCTTGGAGATTGTAGTGCCAGGTACTTAGTATCACTGCTGTTTTGCCCACATGCTCTTTTTCTTTCATGTAGTTTTCTTTCTCTTTGGTATGGAAATAAACTCCAGATTAGAGACTCCTGACTATCCACAGAAACAAACTGAATGAATTGAAGTGGTAACTTGTTTGCTCTTCACAAAGACTTGCAAATATTTTGGAGGTAAACTTTTAAGGAGTTTATTGCTTCAAGAATCTCCTTGTTTTGTCTGGGAAAGCAACGTTGTGTACAGTGTGTTGAACTAATAATATGTATTCTGTAAACCCTTATTTAAGGCTCATTTAAAAATATGCTTCTTGAAGGTTTTGGAAATTTGAACAGGTGACACTTTTTGGTGTCAGATAAAAGATGATACTTAAAAGCTTAAGGCGCTTTTAAATTAAGCAAGAGCAACCTATTGAGTAATCCTATCCCAGCTGGTGTAACTATAATTGCTGTGGAGTTTGTCAGTAGTATTCCAGAAATACATATTTTTTTAGTAGTTCTTTGTGATGTTTCCTCTTGTTCTACAGGTTCGTTAATAATAATAACTTTTCACCTTTACACATTTTTCTGAAAGGACTGGGTAGGCAGTGATAAGAGTCAAGGCTATGAAGCTAAATTGCTTTGGTTCAAATTCCAGCTCTACTACTGTGCAACCCTTGGGCTACTTAGCCTTGTGCTGTCTCAGTTTCCTCCTTGACAGTGTAGTCATGCCTTTCCTGTTAGGGTTAAATGAATAGATTTAAGGAAAGCATTTAGAATAGTGCCTGGCATATAGTTAACCTCAATTATTATCAGCGTCGTCATCATGTGGCCTGCTGGGCAGTTGCTAAGGACTCTTTCCCAACCCTCTTCTGAAAGCACGTCTTTATGTTGCTGCTTACTTGATTATTGTTTGCTTATTATTTAACGAAATGTCAGTAAATAAATGTATTTATATACACAACTTCATTTTGTGAATATTTTACAACGTGGGATTCTTAACAAAATGAGCCATTCTTGTAGGCCATTTTTCTGAACCTTTTTGTATTATCGTTAACACTTTACATTTTAGGGGTTCAGAATGAGTCACCCCAAAGTGTGCCTTTGTGGTATGCAGATTATTTTGAGGTAGAGGTAACTGAGACCCTGCAGGATTGAGAAACTTGTGCCACCCTGTCCCTCTTAACAACCTAGAAGAATTTGAATTAGAGGCCTTGCCCGTAATAGGAGATTATCAGTAATAACCTCTTTTGACCTATCTATATGGCAGGGCAAACTACTAATTACCGAATATCTGCTCTAGTCATCTTGCAGTGACACTCAAGCCTCAAGGTGCCATACTTCATCCTAAGTTCAAAATGTCACATATACCTACCTCACTTTCCCGTTTGTCCCCAAACCTCTTATGTATGTGGAGACTCTACTCTCTGCTGTATGAGGGCTTCCCATAGGCATGAAGGTAAATTTGATTTTCTCTTGTCAATCTGTCTCATAGATTTGATTATTCAACCAGCCAAAAAGAACCAGAGGAGGAAAGGGAGAATTCTCTCTTTCCCCACAACATCTGTGTGAACCATAACATGGAATTTGAGAATTGAAATTTGGGAATTCGCTGTTTAGGGATACCTCCCAGCACTTTCTTTGCTTGGGATGATCATGTTGCAGTGACACCTGTTGCTATATCTGCTCATTCATCCAGTCAGTGAACAAAATACTTTATGTGCCAGGTTCTGGGGAAAACAGTGGAAAACAGACAAACAGATACTTTAGTCGGGAGCCTGATAGAGAAAAACATAAATACAGAAGTGAAAGAATAAAGGCAGTGTAATAAGAGATATAAAGGAAACCTCAAAGGGTCTGAGAGTGTTAATGTGGATATGTGTGTTTGAGACTCTAGCACAGTACACCTGTAATATGGTGATATAAGATGAGGTAGGAAACATGCAGGGTTCAGGTCGCGTAGAGCTTTGCAAGCCATGCAAAATAAGTTTGGGTTTGAGTGCAATAGGAAGTCGTTCTATAGTTTCAAGTAGGGAGTACTATGATTTAGATGAAGTTCACTCTTGCTCACATGTGAAGGATGACTTGAAGGGGGCATGAGTAGAAATGGAGAGAGAAGTTAGGAGTCCATAGCAGTAGTCCAAGTGAGGTGAACACGGCCTGATCCAGAGCGATGGCAAAAAGCGGAGAGCATTGAGAAGGTGGATACTAAATATATGTGGAATAGGACTGAGTCCCGGATTATATATGAGGAGCAAGGAAATAAGAAGAGTCAAGGATGGCCATGCTTCTGGGCTGTGCTGAGTATTGGGAGAGGGAGGGTCTGGGGAGGACCAAGTTTGTTACAAGAAGAGGGATGAGGTTGGGTAAAAAGGGTATGTTAAATTTGAGGTGCTTAGGAGTCATCCAAGGGGCAAGTGGTGCTACTAGGAGTACAAATCTAGAGGTCAGGGCCAAAAACA